TCGGCGAGTTGATGTGATAAGTCGCGACCATGAGTAGTCAGGGAACTCAGCGAGTCAGGGGTTGACTCGATGGGTTGGATCGCGAATTCAGGAATCTGAGTTTTAGAACTCGACGAGTTGATGGAGCATTCCAGCGGGTTGAGTCAACTCGAAGCGTTTACTTTGACCATTGACTTTGACTTTGACCAAGGTTGACCTAGTTTGACTTTTGAGGGTATTTTGGTCTAAATGTTATTTTGGTACTGATAGATCGGGGAGCTGAAGGAGTAGCAGTTCGGGGAATTGCCAGGTAGCAGCCAGAAGAGCATCAGCAAGGCTTCATCAGTGCCAGGTGAGTCTTCTCACCATACCAATGGGTCTACGACACCAAGGTCGGCCCATTTTATGATATGTGGTACACTAGCTGTAGTAGAGATATGTGGTATGATAGTTAGTTTTATGCTAAGTGGTAGGCTAATGATTATGTATGTTATTGCATAGAAGACCCCGGGGGAGCCCGTGACAGTCGGATATAAGACCATGTGGGGGAGACCGTGGCATTCCTAGGTGAAGACCATGTGGGGGAGCCCATGACATTATGGTATAAGACCCGGGGGGGAGCCCACAACATCCTTATATGTTTATGTATGTGTTAGGTCGTATGATAGATACCACTGTGATATAAGACATGCTAGTTGATTATGTATGTTATTGTATGGAAGACCATAGGGGGAGCCCGTGGCAGTTGAATATAAGACCATGTGGGGGAGCCCATGTCATTCCTAGGTAAAGACCATGGGGGAGCCCATGGCATGAAGGTGTAAGACCCTAGGGGGAGCCCACGACATCCTTATATGTTGTATGCATGGCTTATGTGATACATGTAGCTTTTATAGCTAATATGATACGTGTTATGTGATTGTGTGTGGGGTATTCTATGGGGGACTCACTAAGCTTTGTGCTTACGGTTTACAGTTTTGGTTTCAGGTATCATCGATTTGGAAAAGAAGGGCTCGGATTGATCGCAGTGCACACACCTATGGTTTCCGAAATGAATGATTTTGGGATGAACTCTGATAAATGTTTTACTTAATGATGATTTGAAATGTTTGAACTAAATGGTATCAATGTTTTAGCTACATTAAAAATGAAATTTTTACCCTTGATTTTTGGGTCGTTACACAAAATGACTAAAATGCCCAAAAGTGTGCAGTTGCGCGGGTACCCTTGCGGATTTGCGCGACTGAGACTCCACCCTCGCAAATGATGCTGGAATGTTATTGGATCTTTTTCTCCACTACACCACCCCACTTCCAAGATTCCCTTGGTCCCCTCCACACCTCACATGATTCAAATTTGGCCAATCATCTTCAAGCTTTAAAATATGGATAGTCCAAGCCCAAAACAAGAATCATAGACCCATCTTCATAAGCCCACTTCATCCAAGTCTTCAACATTTTAAGCCCAATTCCTCTTTGATGGATCCAAAAATCCCAATAATGCCTCGAAAGCCCACAAATCCCGTCTCCAAGCTAATTTACAACCGCAACAAGCTCCAAAACCCTGCAAATATCTCATGCAAAATAGAAAGTACCAACACGATCCATGATAAAGAAAATAAAGAATATAAAATGCATTACTAATAAAAAGAGTTAAAAAATCTAAAATAAACTATAAAAAAGAAGGAACTAAATTAAACTATCATAGATCAATCAGTATAACGACTTGGAATCATTGATAAATCTTGTTTATAGGTTCATAATAACGATAATGAACTTAAACATAAGTTATACTTAAACTATGGTAAACATAACTCACTTACAAGGGGGTTTAGCAAGGAACCAGGCTCTGTGTGTGCAAAACTTCTGAGCCAAAAACTCTTCTTCTCGGGGCCTTCTGGCGCTCCGGGACTTGCTACTAACACCTAGGAGGTGCTAGAGAAAAGGTCTTAGGACCTTGGGGGGTTTGGGAGAGAATGAAGTTCAAAGGTGTGATGAAATGAGTGAATTTCGACTCTATTTATAGGTTGTCCAAGGGCATATCACGTTGTGAGACTTGGCTCTCACGTCGTGAGCTTGCGTAGGCGCCAAGGCTTCGCCTGATGTTGACACGTGGCGCATGACGCAGGTAAAACAACAAATTTTTAAAAATTCTTAACTTTCGCATACAAGTTCTGTTTTTGACGTTTTTTATATCCACGTGTAGGTATTGACAAGATATACAATTTTCCTTTTAACCCCATTGGCTAATTCTCGACTGATTTTAAATTTAACAGTCTGAGAATATTACACTGTTAACGACCGTGTAAAATCCATAACTTCTACATATAAACTCCGTTTTAGACTGTCTTTTTATCATTGAAATCCTATTAATGAGATCTTTAATTCTCATTTAGATCATTTTGACTAACAATTGACCGATCTAAAAATCGATTTCTGAGCTGTATACTGCTATGCTGAAACTTCGAAAAATCATAACTTCCTTTTATGAAGTCAATTTTGGACGTTTTCTATATGCACACTATCGGTTTAACGAATACTATGACTTTAGGTTTGATTACTAAGGCTAAAAAGTAAGTTATCAAAAATTCACTTTTTACGTTACGCGGAGCCGTGCCGGTTTAATCGCAGAACTTCGACGGGTCACAACTTCTTCGTTATAAGTCGGATTTCATCGTTCTTTATATGTATGGAATCCTTGTGATATATACTATAACTTTGGTTAAGATTATTTATCCTAGATAATCTTCTATCAAAAAGTCATTTTTAACACTTATTATTTCTAAATTGACTAGCCCGAATCTGCGGGCGTTACATATAGGGGGTGAAATAGACCTGGTACGGCCTTGGTCCGACGCATGGGTTGAAATAGACTTGGGGGTGAAATAGACCCGACACAACCTTGAGTTGGCAGATATGTATGGTATGCGATATTTTGGGGAACTCATTAAGTACCGTGCTTACGATTTTCAGTTTATGTTTCAGGTACTTCCGGATTGAAAGGGAAAGAGCTCGGGATGATCGCATCACACCACCACGATTTCCGTTTTATCCGACTCTGATGTATTGAGATGATTGAATATTGATTGACGTACTCTGATTTCCTTAATGATTTTTATGAACACGGTTTGGTTGGTGGTTTTATTATTATGAAAACGAAATTTTTGGTTTTAAAATTTGGGACGCTACATAACATTAATATATGAGTATTTTGGGAATCACTTACTTGAGCTTGACTGATTGCATGCATCACACCCATTTTTATATAAAAATCTTTTTAGAAAATATTGTTTTCTTTAAAAGATTTTATTAATCCTCCGTTTGAGTTCAGACACACCAGAAAGTGTGCCCAAATCTCTTAAACCAAGACTCCGATACCAACTTGTAACGTTCCAAAAAATCCTAAGTAAAAATTTCATTTGTCAACAACCAAAACCATTCATTCATTTGTTCTAAAAGACAATTAAAGTATAATGAATTCTCAAAATATCAAAGTATCATCATAAAATAGATAATACTGAATAAAACTCCATGGGATGCAGTGCGACCAAGCCGAACTCTTCCCTTTGGAACCAGAAGTACCTGAAACATTTAAACATAAAACCGTAAGCACAAAACTTAGTGAGTTCCCAAAAATACTACATAACTATACGGGCCCAACCCTACATAACGGGCCACACCCAAGAGTATAATGGGCCCTGCCCAATTCACATAACGGGGGCTTGCTCAACTACATAACTATACTGTAGTGGACCATGCACAAGGTTTTCATCATTCATGTCGTTTCACTAACACTACTTCAAATTTAGTCAAGGAAATGATGTTCTATGCATCTCAAGATACAATAATAAAACGAAATAACATAAAAGGGTAAAACGTACTCCAAAAGGTGTTCGTGTAACAATTGCGATCGTAAAATATACTTACCAACAAATGTTTATTGATCACTTATTTGCAACACAATCATTTTCTCAATTGATGATCCACATGCACAGACAAATATGATGTTCTTCAATCATTTTCCATCATGAAAGGGACAACATACAACAACAAGATTTAAGTTTAAAAAAATCGGGATACTTTTGTCTTACTTTCGCGAATCACCGATGTATTTTTCACGACACTCGTAACCATTTTGTTAAATCTAATAAAATAATAGTTACCGTCGGATACAATTTTAGTGAATAACTTATGATGAATCCATAATCCATAATTAGGGCTGACTCTATGTTGAGGTTTTTTAAGGTAGGGCTTAGGGCCCCAATTCTAAGGGGCCCCATATTCTTCACAGTCCAAATGTTTAGTCCATTAAAAAATCCAATCCGGTAACCACAAAATAAATGAAGCAGAAGAATAAATCAACGATCGCTGCACTCATGAAACTGAAACGACTTTGCATTCTTCTACCGACTCTGATTTCTGCGAAATATTTATCTCATCCGTTTTCGATTTCCGAGCATAGTAAAGGCCAAAGGGCCCCAAATTTTTGGTTCGCTTAGAGCCCCAAAATAGTTGAGCCGCTGATGTCCATAATATTAAATAAAATAGAATGTTTGTTAAATGCGTTCTATTTTAAACCTAAAAATTCCAAAGAAAAACATAAATCAGAACTAGTTTCATCAAACCTTTCAGAACTAATTATTATAATTTTAAATCATAATAAAGAATTTTTACAACTATTTGAAACGTCTAGTTATAATTTTTTTTAACGATTTTCATCATATTCGTGGTTTGTACGAACATCTTTCACGGGTAGCAAAATAATAATTGTTGGTTGGTTTTACGCATGGCATGAATCAGTCCCACTGGTCTTACAGTTTCCCCGAGTTGTAAAGATGTAAGAAGTAAGAGCAGTAGTCTTTTTACTGTACATATAGGCCTTCAAAGAAGGGTGAAATTGATCCCACCACCGCCCAAGATGGGTCAAATTGCTCGTGGATCGGCAAAAGGATCTTTACTTAACATATCCGTACTGACTACCGATTCTCTCTCTCATCCGCCCCCCCCCCCCCCCCCCCCCCCCCCCCTCGTTGCCTTTCTCTGAAGTCTGACCCTCTTCCTATAAACAAATCGGAACTTTAAATCGGCTTTCCTTTCTCGTCAACTACTTGTTCCCCATCTCAATTTTATATTCACCCGACAAACCAAACGGATAATCCTTTTAGTATTTCACAATCGACTTATTTGAAAGTAGTCCAGAAAGATTGTGTTTTTATTGAATATTGATGGCGGCGAGTGCAAACCCTTCTGCAAACAACAACGGGTCAACCAGCAATGGAAATGGCGCCACCACCGTCAATAACAGCGGTGGTGGCGCCGCCGTGCAGGAGAATTCGGTGGTGGGTCCTACTCAATCTGCTTTAAGGCACAACCCTGGTCTCGCGGTTGAATGGGCTCCGGATGAACAGTCCCTTTTGGAAGAGCTGCTCACTAAGTATGTAATTCTTTATTATGTTAATCGTTGCTAGAATTGGAGATTTTAGGGGTTAATTATTGTTCATATGCTTTGATGGTATAATAATTTTTGGGGGTTTTCTGTTTTTTCGTGTCATTATCAGCTGGGGATATTCGTTGTTGCTTTGTTTATCGTGTTAGATCTCGAATTGTCTGGTTTTGTAGAATCGTTTGCTTGGCGACTTGATGATTGCTTTGAGATTTGTAGGGTCTTGGGATTTGCATGCTTTGTTTCTAAAATTTGGTTCAAGCGATGTTATTATGTTTCGATAATTCTGCTGAATCTTGGAGGAAATTATTAGATTGTCAGGGTCCCCTCACCCAAAGAACTCAACCACCCCCATAGCTCCTACGTAGAGTTCAACAAACCTAGATTTATGAATACTATGCAGTTACATCTTGACTTAATAGGCTTAACAGTACCTGACTTAATCCTGCAAGCTGTATTCAATGTTACTTTCTGGCTTAAAGCAGAGAAAACCGGTGAAAGGAGGCTTTCCCCATTAAGTCCTAACTTTATTCAAATCCTTCTTTTGTGCTTGATCTTATGGTCATATGATGATTTCTCTGCTCTTTAATCACCAAGATTTACCTTAGGCTTGAAAATTTTGATTATACGGAAGAAAAACATAAACTGCTAGAAAGAAGGAATATATTGTTATTTTGCATTTGTTACAAACATTCATATTGTATGTGAGTTTTGCAGATATGCCTCAGATAGTAGTTTATTGCGTTATGCAAAGATAGCAAAGAAGTTACAAGATAAAACAGTTCGGGATGTAGCGCTTCGTTGTAGATGGATGTCGGTATGATTCCTCTAATTCTGTGGATTTTTTCTACAACACTCTTTTCTTCAATAATTCAAAAAAAAAAATAAAAAAAAATCAGATCTGAACTTGAGTAAGCAAGTCCTAACCACCTGCATAATTGGGGGTTTTCTTTTTATTTCAAATGCATTTCATACATATGAGCTAATATTGTCGCTCGATTATGTTTTGTACTTAATGGCTAAAGGAATCACAATATACTTTTGGTTACATCAACTTATGATTCAGGTCACTCTTTTGGCATTTAAAGATTATTCCAAAGTAGTTGTGTATGCTAAAAGAGAAACACAGATAAATTAGTTAAATGGTAGCATAAATCCTTTATGCATCATAAATACTGAATCATATGTAATAGTTTTTTAATCTTTAAGGCAAGAATAGTACGAAATAGAGGCCATGTTCCATTGTCTTGGTTATTATACATTGCTTTATTGACTACATCAACTCTTGCTTATCTGTTTTTTTTTTGTTTTGTTTTTCCAGAAAAAGGAAAATGGCAAGAGAAGAAAAGAGGATAATAATTCGTCGAGGAAAAATAAAGATAAAAAGGTATATTTTATGGGTTTGTGACTACTCATCCATTTTGTTTATGGGGCTGATGATGATTTTTATTATTTGATCTTGTTTATTTGAGTTTACGAGGGCGTGACAGTCCTTATTTTATGTATATATATAGTTAAGATTTGTTTATTGCATGATTCATTAAAGTAAAGATAGAAGTGCGAAGTGTAATTATTATTTATTGTTTTTGGGTTTTTTGTTTGTATGTTTTAGGAAAAAGTAACAGAGAATTTGGTAAAGTCATCTTCTCATACTACAAACCGTCCTAATGGCCCTCCGTATGCCCAATCAGCAGTTTCTATGGACAGTGATGATGGTATCTCTTACAAAGGTTACTCACTCATTTCTCAATTATAAATAACAAACTAAATGCCAATATTATTATTAATTAACTTCTTCAGACATATGCATATCCATTTAGTTTTTTTTTTTTTTTTTTTTAAGCGATCTCCATCTGTATATATGTATGTAGCTGCTACAAGATGCAGTTTCTTTTTTGACTTAATGAGGACAAAATAAAGATGTATTGTAATTTATGTCTTAAAATTTAAGCAAGAGTTATATATATATATATATATATATATATATATATATATATATATATATCTGTTGGGTGTTTTTCTTTGACTGAAGTAGTTTGTCTGCAGCCATTGGGGGTACAGCTGGCCAGCTTCTTGAGCAAAATGCTCAGGCCTTGGATCAAATTTCTGCAAATTTTGCTGCTTTCAAGGTAAATATTTCTCCAATTCAAAATTTGATTTTGATTTTTGAATAATGCAACAAAGCTAGCATAGCGAGTGAATTGTCTAAATTACCCCTCCCCCCCTAGGATGGGTTGATTATGATGTTGTACCCTGACCCTCTCTCATGACAGGTGCACGAGAACATAAATCTCTTCTGCCAGGCCCGAAATAACATTGTTGCAATCTTGAACGAGTATGTTATTTCAACTGTTGTTATTAACAAAGAAAATATGTCATCTTTAAGTGTTGTTTGGATAAATTGTGTTAAATTATTTTTTTTATATTTTATAAAATTGCAGCTTAAACGACATGCCAGAGATAATGAAACAGATGCCACCACTACCTGTGAAGATTAATGAGGAACTCACCAACTCCATGCTTCCCCATGCATCTTTGCAGAAAAAATCTTGAATCTACTTTTGCTTCCTTGATCTTTCTTGGCTTCTTTTGACTACTGTCATCAGGTGCAGCAGCTGCTTTCACCTCAACTCTGGAGATGATGATGATGATGATGATGCATCATGCATGCTGTGTTTTGAGTTATTTGTCGAAATGTCTTGTGTAGAGTCCTTTTCTACTTATTAGATGTATGTAAATATGTGTGTAGTTTGTGTCAAATGTCAAAGGAAGGATTCTCGGACTCTGTAAAGTAAATTATATTCTAGGATCGAATCAAGTTGATTCAATGTTTCTTCTCTGTCCAACTCCAACCCAATACAACCCAAACCAAAATAAGGTTAACTTTAGATTTATATTTTATATGTTGGATGTCGGGAATATATATGTATCCTTTCTTTCTTTTCTTATTCTATTTTACAACTTTTTTTTTTTTTTTTTTCCTTTCTCTCCAAACTCTAGATTAGGATGTCCAAAAGCCGAAACAATCGATTTTTTTGTTATATAGTGACACATGTCAGGTAAATTAAAAATTATTTTTAACGATAGTTTTTTTTATTGATTTAAAATAAGCTTTAAAAATAGTCAATGATCCACAAAAATAATTAAAAAAAAATAAAAAACAATCCAAGGTAGTTCTCATCGATTATACAAAAATGTTGGTATATCTTTATGAAGCCTCAAAATTTTGGGGGTGGTAGGGATGCCTCCTGGTGGCGTCATATCCAGTGACACAATCTGAAAACCACATGGCAGGGGAAGTTGTGAGGAGCATAGCTTCCGGTTTCACCGACTCCAAATTATGATAAAACCTCATGTATTTTCTACTCTGAAAATCTGAAGAAGCTATCTATGATGGAGGTTTTGATGGTCGGTGTTCGTTCACCGGAGCTGTCGCCGGAGGAAGAAAGACAGATGATGAGAGACATTGCAATGGCCGGCGAAGCTCAAACTAAGGAAAGAGATACATTTTGTCTAATCACTCAAAGGTAATAATGATAATGATCTCTCATAAATCGTGTAATATCTACTGCTTCATCGTTCATGCACTGCGCTCAGTTTAGTAAAATCGTTTGAATATCATTAGATCACATAATGACAAAATAAGGAATCTGTAATGATCATATCAACGATGACAATGTGCAATTAAGAAATTTTAATTAGAGAAGTTTGTAATCATTACTATTGCAAATTTAATGCTTATGACAAGGAGGGAGTAGTGCCCATATAGATTTTTTAATGATTGAATTTGCTGATCCTTTTTTGGTTGAATTTAGAGGTTTTGGAAGATTAGGGTTTCAGTATCTAGTTGTGTGGTTGCTGCAAGAGAAATTGGGGCTTTTGTCTGGTTTGATTTTATGTTGATGTAGGTTAGTTCATAGTCCTTCTCTATAATTGGGAGTTGTAGATGAACTTGCTATTTCTTAACCAAATGCAAGAGAAATCTGGGCTCTTAAGTTTAATTAATGGTTTGATACCACAACCATTTCTTAACCAGATGCAAGAACTTTATCAATCTGTTATATTGATCTGTAGCACTGACTGTGAAAGTTTAATGTGGCTATCGTAAGAGAGCTAAAATAAAATGGAAGTTTGTGGGAGAAAGCATAGTTTTGAAACCAGAAGAATATTAAAGTTAAAAAGTAACCTGAATTATGCAAATTTAACCCAACAGTGAATGTAGACTGTTTTTAGGTGATTATTATTTTCCAACTAAGAAAGCAATTAAATTGGGCGCGTTAGGGGTATAAATTAACCCTCTGTCTCTTCAAAGCTTTACTTACACCCTTTAAGAGACGCTCCTCGACATTGGCTCAAAAATCTTGGTTGAATTTTGTGTGTCAGGGAGTGAAGGCATGGCGGAGATTTCAACAGCAAATGGTAATTTGACGGATCTGTCCCCGGAGGAAGAAAAACAAGTCATATCAGGCTTTGCAAGGAAAGGTGAAGCTGAAGCCAAAGAAGGAGATACCTTCTTTCTACTTTCTCTGAGGTAATAATCACATTGTAATTATCATAAGCCTTATGCAGCTGGTCTCTTGATGGTATTTCCTGGTAAACGTATAAATGATATGCTGATCGAGACCTACTTTAGCGAAGACTACTCTATACTGTATCCGACGGAGTTTGAAAAAAGGAGTGAGAAGGTGCTTTTTGACTTGGTATTAAGGATCTCTGCTCTTGTTAAAAAACACAAGTCATTAAAAACTATTTATAATTATACGTCTCTTGTGAGTCTTGTGTCTTTGGTAACATTTATAATGGCAAATGCAATCGGATATGTTAAAATCCTTTTCCGGAAGAATGTAGATGTTTAAAAAAAATTAGGGTTTTAGTAGTATATGTCTAGTGGATCCTATATCTTTTTACTACATACATACTTGTTTTAGATGATGATTGAATTTGTTGATCCTTTTCAGTTAGAATTAAGGGTCTTAGCTTAGCATCCAGTTTTCTGGTGCTAGAAAATTGCAGGGTTTTATGTGTTTGAGGTTGATGTTGGGGTTTCATCAGATGAATTCCGTATGTTGGAGTTAAGTCCAGGAAGAAGAAGTGCAAAGTATATAGTTTCTGAAACCAAGGATTTGAAATCTAGCATCACATTTCCATCATGAATGTCCGATGTGAATTGGTGAATTACTTCACTAATGAAGTTGTATGGTATGAAATCTAATATTAGGTAGATCTATAGGATTTGGATGTTACACTTGCATCATTTGTATAACTTTAGGGGATCCGCTTTCATTGATAACTTGTAAGATAAGCAATTTAGTAGCATTAGGGAACATAAAATTCTCATGTTAAGAAGAAATTAAGATTTAGATCTTGCTTAAAGGGGTTGGTATATTAACTATTAAGAATCAGTTTTATAGTACATTAATGGGAGGCCACTCTTGGGATCAATCTGCTAAAAGTATCTATCCATTGCATTCAGCTACATGCTTTGTTATATGTGTACACATGCCATTCAATTTTTGAACACTCCCGAGTCCTGACTTATACATACATACAACATATGTTTGCTCAAATATTTCATCTTCTGTTTCATACTTATTCATTGCTTCAGTTTGCTCAGATATTTCATTAGTAACAGTAAGTTGGAAGAACTTAATCATATCTACACTGATTTCCTACAGATGGTGGCGAATTTGGTCTGCATTTGTTAATCAAAGCCCAAGAATCAAGGTTACTACAAACGATGGATCATCTATGGAGTATCAAGGTTCAGGCAGAAGGCCCCCAAGCATTGACAATTCTGATTTGATCTGTGAATCATCTTCTGAGATCTATGATACATTAGTAGAAGGCACTGATTACATATTGGTCCCAGAAGCAATTTGGAATCAATTTTATGCATGGTTAGTATGAACCTGCATAACTTCCTTCTTCTTCTTCTTCATAATTATTTAATGTATTATGAGGTGCAGGTATGGTGGAGGTCCTGCATTGGCTCGAAAAGTTATAACCCGTGGTTCTTCACAAACAGAATTGACTGTTGAAGTATATCCTTTACGCCTTCAACTGCATTTTGTGCCAAGTGTTGACCATTATGCCTTAAAAATGAGCAGAAAGGAAACAATTGGAGCACTACACAAGAAGGCTTGTGAGATTTTTCATCTTATTCCATATCAAGTAAGTGATGTCTTTCACCATTTGATTATCTTTAGGAGTTATTTTCATATATTTTTTTTTGTTTTAGGTACGCATTTGGGATTACTATGGTCGTTGCAAACATGCTTTATTGAATGACCTAGATGCAACGCTTGATGATGCCAACATACAAATGGATCAGGATGTGAGTTACTGTTTCCATTAGTGTGTTACACAACTGGACCTATTTGGCATATACTTTCTCTTGTTGCTTTTGTATGTTTGCAATTACAGTTATTAAAAGACTCTTTCACTCGATATGAAAATGATTATACAGATTCTGGTGGAAGTCATTGGTCACAATGGCAGTTGCAAAACTGTTGTTCAAAAGAATGGTCGTGCATACATTGACAATGGTGTGTCTAAAAGTAAAACCTGCAAGTCAAACATGTCACAATTCCAAAACTTGTGTTTAACAAACAAGGCAGCCACCTCAAAGGGTGGTTCTTGTGTTGGTTTAATCGGATTGCTTAATTTGGGAAACACCTGCTTCATGAACACTGCTATACAATGCCTTGTTCATACACCACAATTCACTTGTTATTTCCTTGGAGATTTCCATCAAGAGATAAACAGGGAAAATCCTCTAGGCATGCAGGTAAGATGATTAAAATGCCTTGCCCTTCACTTTTAAGATTTATAAAAAAAAAAAAAAAAAAACTTGACTCTCGTGTAGGGAGAGCTAGCATTGGCATTTGGTGAGCTGGTTAGGAAGTTATGGGCAGCAGGTCGGGCAGCTTTTGCTCCTCGGGCATTCAAAGCAAAACTTGCCCGTTTCGCACCACAATTTGCTGGGCACAGCCAACATGATTCTCAGGTTTGTTTTTGCTTTGTTGACTTTTCATGAATTCAGGTCAATGTAAATATATACTATATGTTTGATGTTTTTATGTGGGGTCAGGAACTTCTTGCTTTTTTGCTGGATGGACTCCATGAAGATCTGAACCGGGTCAAACAGAAGCCTTATAACAAGTCCAAAGACGCTGATGGGCGACCCGATGAACAAGTTGCTGATGAATACTGGGCAAATCACATCTCTCGCAACGATTCAATAATTGTTGATGTTTGCCAAGTGAGTTCATTATTATTATTATTATTATTTTAATTTTAATCATTTATCATGACAATGTTTTACAGTAGTATTTTATTTTTTTATATTTTGACGTACAGGGGCAATACAAGTCGACTTTGATTTGTCCTACATGTGAGAAGATGTCTGTTACGTTTGATCCATTCATGTATCTCTCATTACCAATTCATTCAGAATCAGCAGTGAGTATTTATAGCTGCATACAAGGTTTCCTGCGTGAGGAACCATTGGTGCCTGAAGACATGTGGTTCTGCCCTCAATGCAAAGAGAGAAGGCAAGCAACTAAAAAACTGGATCTTTGGAGGCTTCCGGAAGTGCTAGTGATCCATTTAAAAAGGTTCTCCTATAGCAGGAGCATGAAAAGTAAACTAGAAACATTTGTTGACTTCCCTCTTCATGACTTTGACTTGTCAACATATGTTGCTAATAACAAAAACAGTCAAGTATACCAACTTTATGCTTTGGCCAATCACTATGGCAACATGGGAGCTGGTCACTATACTGCACATGTCAAGGTTTTTTGCTCCTTCACAAACTTTACACTTATTTTAATAAGTTTATATTCCTTGTTATTGTTTTTCACTTTTGTGGGATGGATTGGAATTGGATGCAGCTTATTAATCACAACAGGTGGTACAAGTTTGATGATAGCCATGTTTCAGGCATCATTGAAGATGATGTCAAGTCCAATGCTGCATATGTGTTATTCTACAGGAGGATGAAAAACGATACCAATGGGACCCACTCTTTTGCCTTGCATAGATAGGTAGGTTATCATTATGCATTCATATGTGTAGTGTGATTCACTACAGTTTCTAGTTTAATATCGTATTGGATTGCTGTTGCTGTTCTGAAGAATACAATTTCAGGAACAAACCTAAGTCTAAAATAATCAACTTAAATTGAAGTTTCCATAACATATTAATGTTATGCTGGGGAATTTTGGATTTAATTCTTGTGGATTCGTTTTTTTTTATATTTCTTCTTGTTTTTATGGTGTATATGGCGATGGACTTGGACCTGGTGTGTTTAATTAGCCACAATTGGACGAGAAAAAACCTAATGCTAAATAAAATCTCATGTAAGACGTTATGTTGATGGAAAATCACAACTACCAGATATATTGCATTAATATATATTTTACTAATTATACAACGTATACAAAAGATTTTTGGCAATGCATGTCTTTGACTACAATATGAACCCTATAGACTTCTCAAGGATTATGGGCAACAAGGTCGAAACATATTGCCTTTTCATTTTGGTTACCACGTGTGGATTTTTTTTTTCTTCCGGAAGTAAGTTGTGATAGAACTAGGGTGTCGCATGAATGTAGGGTTTTAGCAAAAACTATTGAGACTAAATATATATTTTTTGTATCATTTATGATTTATTTTATTTTGCTTGTTATTTGTATCATGGTTTCCTTTTTGCATTTTTCATAAGAACAATTGTTTATTAGTACGAATGTACGATGATCTTGAAAATGCGTAACAGTTGATGTTATTTAAATGGTTGTCTGTATTCGAATTTAAAAATGAATAGAAAACGTAAACTATCATTTCGTTTGGGTTAATGTGATTTGAAACTTATTTGAGTTGTTCTCTATAACAGTTCAGAAATTGAAAAAAAAAATCAAGAATGCTTATATTCGAATGGTTTGCATTTTTTTTTTTGAAAAGAAAAACGAATATCATTTCAACATGACCCATCTTAACTCCTTAACAACTTTGTCCAATCCATCCATTTTATCGGTTAGTATAATATAAAGTTATAAACATGTGGCTCATAAACGGCATGCACGGGAAAAAAGGTTGATTCCATGTTAACTTTCATGGTATCTTATTCCATCATCAATGGTTGCCGTCAATATTTGCAACATATACTAACAAACACAAAACAAACAAATATAGTATTGAATATATGCATTGTTTTCATCGTATAATATTCTAGCAAAAAGAAATCATAAATTGCATCTTTTTATTTTTACGGGAGAAAAATTATAATGTTTTCAGAGCAAGGAACTGATGTAGCCAGAGACTTCACTAATGAATTTCTTTTATTTCTTTATTTTCAGGGGAAAAAACATACAAAGAATTCTAATTTTTTTTTATTAATCTTGAAAGTTAAGCATGATCAAAATGATGAAATTAGTAACTACAGATATGATGACTAAATTTTTATTGTTTTGTTAAGTTACATGTTGTAGTTATAAATTTATCTATTACATGGTTATATTTTAATAGTAATTATATTTGAATATTTGATCATATTTTTATTTTTTATCTAGTTGCTAGTTATATACATTAACAAATTAAAATCAATACAAATGAGTTTAATTTGGTCAATATAATAAAATACAATTATTATTTATGAGCATTACCTGCATCAATTGCGGGACAATTGGGTCATAGGATATACATGACATGAGAGTCTGGTGGTGGTGGGCTGGAGTTGGGCAACGACTGTGCACAACACTCTGAAGATCTCGTGGTGATGACATGGAGCTATGATCATGGCCTCATGTGGTGTATACCACGAGAGACCACAACCAATCAATTTTTTTTCTTCTCTGTTCCTCTTTATTCCTCTCTCTTCTTCTCATTGCAGGTATACCAACAATGGTGTGGAAGGAGATGGTAGTGAGGTGGAAGTGCTTGACATGTACCCCATACATGATGACCTTAGTATCTAGAATTAGTTAAAAATTTCGCTATCATTTTATTCGTTTTGCTAGATTATTAACATACTTTTTTGTCGAATGTTTGTTTGTTAATTTGTTTTAACAACAAGTACCACATGGCAGATGTCTATAAAAGTGTTCTATTTTAGTTTTTTTTGTTCACTATATAAATCTTCAATATTATCACATTAAAATACAACATTGTGTTCATAAGTATGGATTGTGGGATCGTTACCTGCATCCTTTAAACTCGAGAATAAACGATATCAATCATTTAGTAAGAGCATGATAAGTTTAATGAGAGAGTTGAGTTGTCATTCGATGAATGAAACTCTACCGTTATAAGATGGCATATTGGTATTCAAGAGATTTCAAATTCAATGGGAAGAATGAAAGTTTTTTAAAATTTAAATAAATATTATAATTTGTTTTGTTAATGTTTCATTGAATTTTATAGAGTTTACTGCATTATAGAAAAAAAAATGATAGAATTATATATGATATAAAATGAATTATATATGATATAAAATGATGATGTGACAATCTGTTTTGAACTCTATAAAATTCAAGAATTGAGTATGATGGATTCTCACACTAATTTTTATCAAACATAGTGATTTCTATATCCTCCTTTAATGCCCTCCTTTTATGTTTTTACATACCAGTTTCTAACATTGATCCTATGGTACAGTTGATTAATCATATTTGTACAACCCCATTGATGCATTAAAAGTAAAAACAATTATTTAGCCGTATTTGCTCTTGTTTGTTACTTCTAATCAATACATTTAAACTTTTAGTACATCATGAATTTAAATATGTAGCCGTCCATCCTACCACTTTATGTTATACAGTTATATGTTATACAATTATTATAATTGTATAATTATATAAATTTTTTTATTTTAGTTGACCGTCTTGAATTGCAATTTTATAGTTTTTTTTATAGGAACTCAAAAATCTTAAATGATCCTAAAATAAAAGCTTAAGCACTAGTTACCTATAAAAACCATGGTGACCGGCCGATAAGGAGTTGGCAGCTGCACTGCTGCAGTCGCACCCCCTTGATTTTAATGATCTGGTTAAAACCTTTAATACTATAAGACTAAAAAAAAGCTCTTTATTTTATTCGTATTTAAGGAATATTTTATTTTAGAATAATGGAGAGTTAAATAAATTAAACAATTACATAGAACAAATAATTAAACCAAGTCAACCCTACTTCTTCCCACTCATATACCATCAAAGATACATATATTCAAACATGTTCATCACCCACTTGCCTCCATCTCCTTTTAAATCATTATCATCATCCTCATCGTCATTTCATAATTTGGAGAGAAAAAAAAAAGATGATGAAGAAAATACCCATGATGAAATTACTCATTAATCTTCCATTTTTATTGATTTTAGCAAGTAATCATCTTTCACTGCATATGATCCATGGACAAACCCAAGATTCATGTGGTTCAAACTCAAGTCTTGGTAGTCTCAGTACCCAGATCTTGTTTGAAACTTCTTCTCTCAATTGTCTTGCTGTTTGGTCTTCGGAAAATTTCATCCTTAGAGTACGTCTCTTCATCCATGACTTGTGTGTTTTGATTGTGTAATGCTTTAACTATTGATTATGATCTTCAATGATCATTTTTTGTTCTTCAACGTGTTGATCAAATGGCTGTGTTTTTCATATATATATGTCTAAGGAATTATTGGGTTTTAAATGGTATGGGATTCTTAGTATTTTTCAAGAATTTACTTGAAGGTCATGTATTAGAAAAACATATTTCGGTATTTTTTTTAATCAACAAAAAAAAAAAATAAAAAAAATATAGGGTCTTCTAAAACTAATCACTTTAAAAGATCATGATCTTAAATAGTTTTTTTTTACTCTTTAATAGTAGTAATATGTTACTACATAAGCTTAAAATTGTTGTAAAAGGCATACGGATTCTTTCTTGTTTGTGCAAAAACTATAACATATGTGATATAACTATATGTCGATCGATGAAAATTTATGTTTTATATAATTCACAGTATTCACAAGCTGGCCCAAGTTTGTGGAGTTTTGTCTTATCAGCGCCAATATCAAATTCTTACATTGGAATGGGGTTTTCACCCAATGGCGCTATGGTGGGGTCCAGTGCAGTTGTAGGGTGGGTGGGTAGCGATGGCTCAGGCAACATGAAAAAGTACTTCCTTGGTGGTCAAACCCCGAGCCAAGTGTTGGTTGATCAGGGAGACCTACAGATTCTTGGAAACACGTCTACAATTCTTTCAGATACTTCTCGAATATATATGGCGTTTCAGTTGGCTATAGACGAACCAAGGCGACAACTTGTGTATTCTGTTGGGGATAATAGCAATCCCCCTCCAAGTACACCGAGCTTTCGCTTGACTCGACATAGAAACCATGCAGCCATCCGTTTGAATTATGCCTCGGGTAAGTGCTTTACAAAATAATTATAAGATTCACTAAAAATAAATGTAATATTCATATGCAAATTTTCAATCAATCTAACTTTATGAAAAAAACAAATAGGAATTAATCTTTAGGTTTAGGACGTCAAATTTTAAGTTGTTTGATCATCATCCTCCAGAGTCTGAGTTGGTTGTATTGTTGATAGTTGCTTAGAATATTTGCCACAAGATTTGACTTTGAAGGGGTCCAATGCCCATTGACAAACGACAACTACTTGTTAACTTCTTATATTGGGCCTTTTTTTGGACTAAAAAAAGAATTGGATGTCAATAGCTTAATTTATGTTATGGTTAATATTCAATACAAAAATAGCAATATATTTTTATTCATTTATTTATTATAATATTTATTTATTTCTATAATTATAGTACTGTATATTAAAAAAAAAACTCAATAGTTATAATAATGATATCCAAATTAATAAGAACAAAAAAACTAAATACAACATTATAACCGGATATGTCTTTCAAAGTACAATTATTTAAAAAAAAAGTTATGAATATAATATTATAATATACATAAATAAAAATATAATCATAGAATACACAATAAATGATATTTTATCATATATTGCATTTAGTCCTTGCCAATACTTATGACGTGTAATGGTTTCACATTGTCTATGCATCCATTTTTAAGATAAATATAGTGCATTGTACAATCTTTGATGCATAGTATACAATCATAATACTAATATAACTAAATATAATAAATTTTGTTTTTTTTTTATAATTATTTATTTATTTATTTATGATGATATAGGTGAAGGTAGTCGAATCAAGGCCCCTTACTCGAACTTAAAGAGGGCTCATGGAACCTTGAACATGATGGGGTGGGGCATATTGATCCCTATTGGTGCCATGGTTGCTCGTTATTTGAAGCATATGAATCCTTTATGGTTTTATGTGCATACGGGTATTCAATCATTAGGGTTTATTCTTGGATTATCTGGTGTGATTGCGGGACTTGTTTTAGATAATCGTATTGATGCCAATGTTAACAAGCACAAAGGACTTGGCATAACGATTCTTGCATTTGGTTGCCTTCAGGTTTCTACATTATTATCTTTTTGTCTATTGTCTCAATGAATTTATACTTTGAACACTATCAGAAAATACTTGAATTTTAATGTTTTCAGACGTAACACAAGAAATATATAAGATTGTAGAAGTATAATTTTTTTTTTTTTTTTTTTTTTTAATTACAGGTACTAGCTTTCTTGGCTCGCCCTGCTGTAGAGGCAAAAACAAGAACATACTGGAACTGGTACCACTCCAGTGTAGGGAGACTAATGATATTTTTTGCGATTGTGAATATTTTCTATGGGATCCATTTGGCTAAAGCAGGAAGCTCATGGAATGCTGGTTATGGAGTCATTCTTGGAATTTTGGTTACAAGTGGTTTGATTTTAGAGATTAACATGTTAAGGAAAAAGTAATTGTATATCTTTCTTGTTCGTGCTTACTATAGATATGCTTGGGCTCGTGCGTGTGTGTGTATGTGTATTCGAACCAATAGCCATCATTGTTTTTTTGTTGTGATTACATGTTATTTCTCATACTCCTAGGATTTCAGAATACAAACTGCAACTATATTTTTTATTAAATATAAATTATTATGAAATTCATTTCATTCTATCTATGAAATATTTTTGTTCATGTTATTGTGTCGATCAACTGCCTTGTGTATCCTTAATTTATCTGATACTAGTTGTCTTCATCTCCAAAGTCCCATCATTTGAGTTGTTTTTCAGTTGAAGGTTAATTAGGAGCGAACTACCAAAATGTTCACGACTTTGGACTACTAGGGCAAGACCATGTGAGACGGCTCATGCGTTTTGTTGTTAATAATGAAAAGATCAAAATATCTCTTTATTCCCTGTAACATGTTGTAAAATACGACGGATCCAAATTGACTTAAATAATATTAGTTCAATGCGGAATGGGATCAAAAATTATCAAAGCGTAATAATCACAACGTAATACGAATAAAATAAATAGAATAGAGACACAGGAATTTACGTGGAAACCCAAATCGGGAAAAAACCACGGGCGGAGGAAGCCGAGAAACAATTCACTATAATTTGCAGTGTTTACAGGGATTATGAAAGAGATTACAAATAGAGTGGGAGAGCTAAAATATACGGTGATGTATAAGTATATATATTTAATGCTTTTCTATATATACTTTGATTTTGGTTCGTGTGTTTATGATGAAAATGGCTTAGGCTATTTATAGCCAAAGGGAATGTAATATGAAAGGAAAAGAAAAAAGAGTTTTTCGTCCAAAAATTGCTGCGCCTTCTAATTTGACTTGTTTATACTGCGCCTCCATTGTTGACCCAAAAAGCATGCGCCTAATATTTACCAAACAAGTTGCCAATCCATATTACCGTCCATTCTCATTTTCACATTCTCATTTTCAAACATTTCACACTTATATTACTATTCATAGTCAAACTATGAATAGTAAATGATAAGTTACAGAAATAACCCCTGAACTATTTGCCACTTGCTAATTTTGGAGGCAACATTTTCCACAATCTCCACCTTGACATCAAAATTAAGCAAGTCATGCTTTACGATTAGTCAAAACCTATAGCTCATCAAACTCTAAAACTTCCATAAGAACCTGCAAAATTATATAGAGAAAAATTATTTCCGAAAAATAAATAATACTTCCTCCACCTACGAGCCTTCAGGCTCAACTGCGATCAGAAACACCCACCATGTCCAAACATAATTTGAACTTGGCTATAGGAAGACTTTTAGTGAACATATCAGCGGGATTATAATCTGTATGAATCTTGTCCACAACACAATCGCCTTTTTCAATGATATCCCGCACAAAATGATAATGAATATCAATATGCTTAGTTCGGTCATGAAACATTTGATCTTTACTCAAGAAGATAGCACTCTGGTTGTCACAGAAAACTGTGGTCACCTTTATTCTATCATCGAGTTCTCCAAATAACCCCTTCAACCAGATATCTTCCTTAACTGCTTCTGTAATCGCCATGTACTCTGCCTCGGTAGAAGACAGGGCAACTGTAGACTGTAACTGGGCTTTCCAACTAACAGCACAACCATTTAGAGTAAACACATATCCTGTAATTGATCTTCGTTTATCCAAATCTTTGCCATAATCTGAATCAACATATCCGAACACCCCAGTGTTAGATTTACCAAAACGTAAACACATAGAAGACGTACCACGTAAATAACGAAAAATCCACTGTACTGCTTTCCAGTGTTCTTTCCCCGGGTTCGCCATGTATCTACTAACCATGCTAACAGCATAAGCCAAATCAGGGCGCGTGCAAATCATAGCATACATCAAAGATCCAACAGCACTAGAGTATGGAACACGTGTCATGTAAGCCATATCAGTCTCATTAGTAGGACTCAAAGCGGATGATAGCTTGAAATGAGCTGCAAAAGGTGTGTTGACAGACTTTGCTTCGTGCATACTGAAGCGTCTTAGGACTTTCTCAATATAATTTTTCTGAGAAAGATGCAAGATCCTAGACTTCCTGTCACGAATAATTTCCATACCTAAAATCTTTTTTGCAGCTCCTAAGTCCTTCATTTCAAATTCAGCTTTCAACTGGTCTTTTAACTTTTGAATCTCCTTCATATCTTTCGCTGCAATCAACATGTCATCCACGTACAAGAGTAAGTAGATCTTTGAACCATTGTCACCTTTCTTAAAATAAACGTAGCTATCATAGGTGCACCTGCTGAATTTGTGACTGGTCATGAAAGAATCGAACCTCTTGTACCATTGTCTAGGAGACTGCTTGAGGCCATAAAGAGATTTGTTCAACTTGCATACGTAGTTCTCCTTTCCAGGAACTACAAAACCTTCAGGTTGTTGCATAAAAATCTCTTCCTCAAGCTCACCATTTAGGAAAGCTGTAGTGACATCAAGTTGTTCTAACTCAAAATCGTTAGAAGCAACCAACCCCAACAACACACGAATGGAAGTATGTTTGACAACTGGGGAATAAATGTCAGTGTAATCAATACCAGGAATCTGACTGTAGCCTTTAGCTACTAACCGAGCTTTGTATCTTGGTTTATCATTTGGGTTGACAGGTTCCTTGAGCTTGTAGACCCACTTGCATTTAACTGGTCTCTTCCCTTTCGGAATAGGAACTAAATTCCAAGTACTGTTTCGCTGCAAGGATTCCATCTCATTTTGCATAGCGAGCATCCAATCATTTGAGTCTTCAGATTTGATAGCCTCGTCATAATTTGCAGGCTCCGTTGCAGACTCAATATTATCAGCAACAATAAAAGCATAGGCAACCAAATCAGATTCAGCATACCTCTTCGGAGGAATAATCTGTCTTCTCGGTCTATCTCTTGCAATGCTTGGAGTAGTAGCTTGTGGTTGTGAAGGTGTTGAATCTTCACCAACAACATGCTCATCCGACGAAGAAGAATCTTGATGCTGATTTGTACTCTGATTAGTGGTAGGTGAAGTAGGAAGCTCCACCTCCATTTGAGCATTCTCTTTATTTGCTTCGGATGATACATCTGATGCATCTGTTCTTTTAGAAGAGTCAGCAACTGGTTGAATTATAGCAGACTCATCAAAAGTAACATCTCTTGAGATGATAATTTTCTTCAAATCAAAGCTCCATAACTTGTAACCCTTTACACCTTGATTGTACCCAAGAAAAACGCATTTGATTGCTCTTGGTTCTAGCTTCCCATTGTCAACTCGTGCATACGCTGGACATCCGAATGGTTTTAAATCTAAATAATTTGCAGGTTTACCGGACCATAATTCAAACGGAGTTTTCTTCTCGATTTCTCGTGACGGTGATCGGTTGATAACATAGCAAGCAGTCGAAGCAGCCTCCGCCCAAAAAGACTTTGGCAATTTGGAATTAGAAAGCATACACCGGACCTTCTCCATAATGGTGCGATTCATCCTTTCAGCTACACCATTTTGTTGAGGTGAATGGACTACTGTGCGATGTCGAGTAATGCCTTCCTTTTGACAATAGACATTAAACTCTTCTGAGCAAAACTCAAGTCCATTATCCGTACGAAGATACTTTAACACCAGACCTGATTGCTTTTCAACCTGAACTTTCCAATTTCTGAAGGTAGAGAAAACGTCTCCTTTATTTTTTAAGAAGAAAGACCACACCTTCCTGGAGAAATCATCAATAATAGTGAGCATATAAATAGCTCCACCTTTTGAAGGAACTTGAGCCGGTCCCCACAAATCCGAGTGAACATAATCAAGTGGTCCTTTCGTTGTATGGATACCACTTGCAAACCTCACTCGTTTTGCCTTGCCATATACACAGTCTTCACAGAAATCCAAATCAACAATCTTTTGTTGACCAAGTAAACCTCTTCGACTCAATTCTGACATGCCTTGAAAACTCATATGGCCGAGTCGAAGGTGCCAAAGACGGGACTGATCTGGATCAGAAAAAGACTTTGACACAACAGCAGCATCACTCGAAATTGTTTGCCCGTCAAGAAAGTAAAAATCTGAGGTTTTTCGTTCGGCTCTCAGTTTGTCGGAACCGTCTTTGAATACCCTGAGAACTCCACCTTTACCAGCAAACTCGTATCCCTTTTTGTCAAAGGAACTGAGAGATAACAAGTTTCTTCTGAGGTCAGGAACATATCTAACATCCCCCATGGTTCGAATAACTCCGTCAAACATACGGATCCTGACTGAACCATGTCCAAGAACTGGACATGTAGTATTGTTACCCATCAACACATAGCCCTGGTTAACCTTTTCAAATGTGTAAAACCAACTTTTGTTGTGACACATATGAAAAGTACAACCAGAGTCGAGTATCCAATCACCAGTGGAATCCAGTTTATCTGAATAAACTGTCAAAAGTTCTCCAATACCTTCTACCTCAGCTAGATCGGCTTCACCCGAAGTGCTAACTTGTTTACCATTTGCTGCCGTCTTCTCTTTTTCTTTGTTCTTCAACTTGAAGCATTCTTCAAGCACATGTCCCTTCTTGTGACAATAGTTGCAAAACTTTCGTTTGCCTATTGACTTGGATCTGGTTCTGTTGGAAGATTGAGAAGTTCTATTTCTCTCTGTTGTTCTTCCTCTGGCATTCAAACCTTCGGCTTTAGCATCACTTGAACCACCACCAGTAATATGCTTCATCTTCTCTTTTGAATCCAAAGTTGTATAGACTTCATCTAAAACTAGAGTGTCACGGCTATAGATAATAGTATCACGAAAATGGCTATAAGATTCTGGCAACGACGATAGTAAGAATAGAGCCAAGTCTTCATCTTCATACTGAACATCCATATTCTCTAAGTTATTTACTAACTCTTTAAATGTGGATATATGTTCAGCTAAAGAGCCTCCTTCAATCATCTTGAGATTGAACAACCGTTGCTTCAAATGCAACTTGTTTGGTAAGCTCTTGGTCATCAACAGTTGCTCCAACTTTAGCCATAAAGAAGCCGCTGACGTTTCTTTTAGAACATCTTGCAAAACATCGTTTGACAAGTGCAAACGAATCTGGGATAAAGCCTTCAGATCTTTCATCTCATTTTCTTCTTCGGTCCATGT